TGTGCAGGGCAAAATCTGAAGAGACATCCTCTGTGACGAGATCAAGGTGAAATGATGTATCACAGTCTGCATGAGCTAACTTTCTTCATATCTGTGCATGGTAATTCAGGTATCGACAGAAGATTGACACACCTGGACTTTGTGGCTGGACATCTCATTAGGGGACTGACTGCAAGCTGTGCAGAAGCAAAAGATGTAAACCACATTCAGATAAAAAGGAGAAAAGCTTTTTTTTGTAGGTGTGACTTTGATATTTATTAACTTACCTTGATTCCACATGACGAAATATCTTCAAATTTAACTGCCACATGGGCAACTAGGATCCCTTAGTGATGTTAGAGCACAAACATGAGACTTGAGGAGCTTCAGGAGCCAGCACATAAACAACAATCAGGCTGGAAGCACCCGGAGAACACAGCCAACTGAGCTGGCAGCTTCTTAATGCAGAGGCCATCAGGTGAAATGAATTACAGCAATTACCTGCGCTGCAGCACAGGACTGGAAAAAATGAGCTGTGGAGGAAATGGTCAGTTGTAAAGCCATTTGCATGCTGCATTCCTTCAGCAATTCAGTTATTTGAATTCATTTTATTAAAAATCAATTCAACAGTGATTGACAGGTGTTTTGCAACTTTTGATAAACTTCATTTAATCTCTTCAAAATATGTTACAATGACATAAGACCAAAAATTGTTCATACAAAAGTTTGAGAGGAGAAGTTTGCTTGGCTGTGTGTTCGGATCCATCGTCTGTAGGGTTGGGTGCCACTCACATTGGAACCAATACAGGTACCTGGAATTTAATACTGGTACCTTTTTGGGTACTTTCTGTAATAACTAAAATGTGATTTTTTAACAAGCTGCAGTAGTAGTCTCACTCTCACACATACAGCTTATCTTCCGTCTCTGTCTGAACCCAACCCTAATTATCTGAAATAAATCCAGGTGTGGTCTTTATCTAACACAGTGAAGCCCTGATCCAGGACTCATATTGGGTATCACAGTCCTGCATCGGTATATCCTGGAACTTAAATATTTCGGTCGCTGAGTGGCTAATGAAAATAACTACAGCAAGAATGCTGACAATCCGAACTCACTGATTGGTAGACGATCTTCTTAATGGCCTATTAGGTGAAGAAAATCAGGTAACTAAAAAGGGTTCTTCCATAACAGTCAATACAAACAGATGATGCAGACTCAGACCAATTTGACATCTTATACCCAGAGACGCTGTGATCCCGCCCAGTCTGAGACGGTAATGCAGCTCATCACAACAATGACCTCGCAAGATATGTTTCCACTGAACACTGTTGAAGGTAAAGGCTTCGGGAAGTTAATGGAATATGTTGTATGCTAAAGTTTTCTGAGTGTTTTCTTTTTTTCAGACTAGTCGACTCGTCGTAATTAAAATTTTTGTTCAGTTGACAGGGACTTGAGTCGCCAGGAACATCCCTAGTATGAATCTGCTTTTACCGCTACGTCTGCGCCCTCGTTGAGGACTTGGCTCAGATTAATCTGATCCCATCTGATTCGGCGGTGGGGCAGCATGCCTTTGCTGAGGTCAACCCCAGCAGGATTCGAGCCCGGGACCTTCTGCATGAAGATGAGTGCTCTAACCACTACACTAGGGAGGCCCTAGAAATGTCCCTAGTATAGTATAGTCCCTTGGGTGAGCATCTGTCATGTTCTTTGTGAATCTGAACCTGCCAAATGTTGATTTCTCTCCAACCAGACGCCGAAAAAGATTTCCAACCATCCATGAGTTCTCATTCTTAACATTCTTTTCGTGACAAATTTAACGAGCCACTCGGTGACTAAAATGTCCGAATTCAGGGAGACAGCGAAGCAATGTGGTGGTACATTGTACGGTGGGGAGGTTTGACTGATATCCCAGAATTCCAAACAAGACGACCGTTCCATTTCCAAATAACCTGGTACCAGACAGAAGAGACGATTGGAGTTGACCCAGCTTTGCTTACACAAAATCACAAACAATAGGCAAATGAAAAACATACAGTTATCACTAGCACACCAACAGTATTAACCTGTAAATATATCACATCTTGTTCATGACTGAAGTAAACAGAAGCTGAATTAAGAGCTGAAGTAAAATTGAATCCATCACAGCAATTTACATATCAAACAAGTCGGGCTCTTGAAAACAGAGCACATCCATCAAATGTACATCAAACTTGTTCGTCCCCTGTTGATCCTATACAGTATTTACACATGTGCAAAGGAATACAACAAATCAAAGAGTGAAATCTCTAAATACCCCAGACCTTGTATCTGTTTGGCAAATGTCTCAAACCTCACAGGAAGCCAACTGTCCCCCACCCCGTCCTTTTGTCTAGAAAGGTTGAGGGAAGAAATGTGGCCGGAAATGACTCTACCCATCATCCTCTGGTCTGCTTAGAGCTCCGAGGATATGGCTGACCTACTTTGAGTCCAAACTTTGCTGCTTGTGAACAGAAAGCCACAAATACCACATTCTTGAAGCACAGCAACATTGTCCAAAGCAGCATAGATGTCCTGCAACAAAGACAGGAATTTTAATACTGATTTGTGGTATTTCTGTTCATACCAAAGCACCACGCATAGAGTCAGTGAAACGCGGTGCACCTCAAGCACAACTTCTGCCAATTCTGTGTTTGAGTGCAGTGTCAATGAGGCCACTCTAGTGTCAAAGAGAAAATGGTGAATTGCAGAAATAAGGCAAATCTTAATCATGACAGGAAAATCTATTACAGCTAAGGGGAGATTTGAAGGCCATCTAGTGGATAAATGTTGGCAGCAGGTCAAAGAAAATTTGATTTTCCGCCAGAGTTTGAGAGCAACGAAGGAGCCAGGATTGTTTGGTTTTACAGGTTCCTGTAAAATTTGTAAAAGTGCACAAATTATGTATGACCTGAAAGGCGAAAAGGGGTCCCGAGTATGATCCTCTGCCAAGTGCTGCAACAACTTAATAGGCTTAGAATTAGCCTGTCGGAAGCATGAAGAAAGGGATTACTGTAAGATCCAGAGCCAAAGGAAACGAGGAGCAGTGACACAGTGAGAGGAGATCAAGTTAAACACAACAGTATTATGTATCAAAAAAACAAAAAAGCAGAGATCCTCTGGCTCATGGAGGATTGTGTGTGCTGGTGTCTTCTCTCACTTCTTCCCTGAAGGTGAGAGGCACTGCATGCATAAGTAGACTGTTGGCTGACATTGTGTTCACCTGGTAAACAAATACCAACGCAGTTATCACACTGAATCCAGCCTCACAGAGCTCCTCCATATAATGCAGTAGGTAGTTATGAGGAATAAATATAAACAACAAAATAAAAGTGCTTTCAGTGAGAGTCACTGAATCCCTCTCCCTTTCCCCTCATTCAGGTCTGAATGGACTCTGACGTGAATATTCATGTCACTGTTGTAATACAAGCAGCTCATCGTTCAGATAATTAAATCTATGTTTAGGCAACGTAAGGATTGCTCTCAAGAGAAGATTTGTTCGCCACGTGTGGGGGAGTCACTCCACAAAGTCTTTTAAATGTAGGCTTCATTGTAGTTTGCTTGTTCAAGGATGATTCTGGTTTATTTCAACTTAGGTTTTATGTTCATACTTTGAGACATTCTTACATTGTACTCACCAAAAATAAGTGCTAAGATCTGGGAGCAACACTGCTACAAAATGAAGTCCAATGGGCCGAGTGACGCTATCAGACAGGTTGTAAGCCAGCTCAAGACAGTCAACTCCCCAAAAGTGACACTGTGGTTTTGGTTCTGTCTGAAATTAAGGATCAAATGTTTCAAAAATTACCAATGATTTAAAGGCCAATGTTGATCTCCTTCATGGGAGATATGATCTCCTACATACTAGATGTTATCTCCAATAAAAGGACAAATTATCTCCTACGTACAGGATGTTAACTCCTACCTGAGAGATAAACTTCTAGTAATCAGACTGTTTTCAGAGTGAGCATACAAAATGATGATACCAAGGACTTTTAATATTTTCCTCATAAAGGATGTATTATTTCAGCGATCCACCATTAATCAGGACGTTGTTGCTACAGTATAAGAGCTAATAGTGATTGTGTGAACTTGGCCTGTTTGCTAGTATTTGAACTCTTCAGAGTTTGCTCATCAGAGTGTTACGATGGCGTTCTATTGGTAATGTTAGTGCAAAAAAACATGAATCAATAGGCCTGTTCGATCACCGGCAATCGCCGCACAATGCATGCTGATTAGTTTTGTGTCCGACTTCATCCCGACTTCCTCTGACATCTTACAAAACTGGACAGTGATAATCTTGTGGGAGTGAGGCGGCCTCTGTTTTTAGAGCCAGGCGCTGCAGTTGCTCTCCACCAACTGCGAGACCCAAGGCATGATGGAAAAAGCCTGACTCTAACTTGATCTAACAGCTGATTGGTTTAGATGTTGACTCAATAAGATGATGTGGTAGATAAACTTTTTTTTAATCTTTGTTGAATTTTAGGGATTTAGATTTGTCTGATTTGAAGGTTTATTCTGTAACAACTGAAAACATGTTGTGTGACTGATGGTGACATTTAGTGGTCATTCATCATAAACTGAAGTCTACTGTATATTAACATTGGGCTGTTTTAATTACTGAAGTATTTAACATCACAGAGACTTGTGGTCAGTGGGATGTGAGGATTCTTAAAATAACATCTGTACAGCCCTGATTGTATCTGACTGATCTTTAATGAAAGCTGTTGTCTTGTATTTTTATCCTCTGAAAATATTAGACACAATTTAGCCTGTAGTTGAGGGGACAGGTCTGCTCTGCAGCAGCAAACTGATATGATGCTGATTTACATGGGAATTCGTGTCAAATGGAGGTTGAACCATGAACATAAATTACAGATCACCTGTAAAGCATTAATAACTTAACATTTTTGATAATCAGCATTAGATCTGACAGGATGTGAGTGTTTCTGTGACTTCCTGTAGGGACTGAAGGCTGCTGGAAACTGTCGGGAAACCGTCCGACTTCACCGCAGCTTTTTGTCTGCTCTCGTCTACTTTCCAGGAGAGGCGCAGTTCATCTCAAACGAGCCTAATCTCTCCCTCTCTTTCACGCTCACTTATTCGCTGAGGAGTACATGCCCATATGGGGACCTAGATGTTCTAGTGTTCTAGTGCGTACAAAATACAATCGTGCCGCTGCCACCGCACAGTTCCATTACGCTTTACAGTGGACATTTGTAGTTAGTTAAACATTCGGTGCCCTTTGTGCGGTGCATGAAGCGCTTCACTTTGCACAATGTTCCCACTTTAAAAAGTGCCTGATTAAGCCTATAAGGTTATCTAGACAGATAATCTAGCTATTAACTCGTTCATAGGAAATAATCTTTTGATTTTGACCAACACTGCCCGCAAAAAATATTTTTTTCTGTTGGTAAATCTGCCACCACTACTAAAATATTATTTTACCAGGCACAGCAACAGGGACAGGGGTGCAGGGCTCAGTGAGGGGTCGATTAACTCTGTCAGTATGATGTCATTACTACAAACAGGAACAGTACCAAGCTGTAATAAACCAGAATTATCCTTTAAGCTCTCCTCCTCATTAACTGCGTGAAGCACTCTGCAATGAAAATGAAGTGTTTGCGTTTAAGGCTCTATACAAACAAAGGTGACCGGTCTTGCTTGTTATACATTCTGGTATATTGGTTAGGGGTGTGTCTGGGATCAGTCGACTTATCTTTAAGTCTGTAATGGGCAAGAAGAGGAAAAAAGCCAACAAGCACCCGCTGGTTGGTCACTAACTGATAAAATGTCCCCCACCCACACAACCAACGAAGCAGCCCACAGAAAAAAAGTTATCTTTAAGCACCAAAGTCTGGTATTTTTCTCCTCCGAGACGACTGAGCAAAACTGACCACGAGATGTTTGTCTACAAATACCATCATGCTGTATGTCTTTATTACCTGAGCGTTAAGGGCATTCCTGCAATTGATGCCAAAAATAGAATCGAATCTTGATGTAAATATTGAAAAGATTAATGCTGGTGGTCACGTACCAGGCTGAAATCAGTTTGTAAGTCAGGTTCTGTCGAAGCCTTTTAACACTGAGGTGACTGTGTTTTAATCTTGGCCCTTTGGATAAATGTACGCTGTCATGATCACAGGATAATGTCTCATATTGCATTTAGTAACAATTAGCACCGAGTCCAAGATGGTATTTGTAGACAAACTGTCTCACCGTCACTTTGACTTTCTCTTCTAATTGAATCCAGGACTTTGGGGGTCATTCTGCTCTTCCAGCACACTTGAGTGATTCTGTAAGGAGGAAGTGGAAGCTGTGATGTGATTAGCCTGAGACTAAGCTGCAATTTGGAGCAGCAGCAGCAGCGGTGGGTGTCACACCTCTCCCCTCCAATATAAAGACACAGCTCGCAGAGGACTGCATGTGCTTGGACAGTGGATAAAGTTAAGCCACGATACAGACAATGGTTATTCTAATTATTGTTCCCACGTTAAAAAACAATAGTCCTGTTATGTGATCTAAGTGAACAGTAGCTGATGAGATGTGTACATGTGCTTGACCGGCTGAGTCTGTGGTGCCATTTGCTCGTCCATCACGTGTCCCAGTCCAGCTCTCTGCAGGCGATACGAACCAGTCTGAGCTCCAGTTCAAAGGCGTCGGGCCGTTCCTGAGGGTTGGCCGACAGCATCTCCCTGATCAGCTGCTTCATGTGGCTGTTCATGCTCTTTTTCCTGGCAGGGATCAGCAGCTCCATCTTTGGGTTCTCTAACAGGGCCTCCCCTAAGGGTACAATCTCTGAGCCCTGCTGCACGTAGCTCCCCAGCAGCTCCTTCTGAGTCTCCACGTCCACAAAGGTGATGCGCTCCACCATGGCCCAGATAATCACCCCCAGGGCGAAGATATCCGCTTTGGCCGTGTAGTGACCCTCCCAGACCTCCGGGGCCATGTAGAAGTCTGTTCCGCACGCTGTGGACAGGAAGCACTTGTTGACGCTGGCCGGCTCCTCGGGGTTGAGCCCAGAGGTGGAGCAGACCTTGCTCAGGCCGAAGTCGGCCACTTTGAGGGTGGGCTCGGTCGAGCCGGCCGGCGTGCAGGCCTGGGAGATGAGGATGTTGTCTGGTTTGAGGTCGCGGTGTATGATCTGGTTTCGGTGCAGGAAGGCCAGGGCGCTGCCCAGCTGCAGCATGAAGCTGGTGTTGGTCTTGCGGCTCGGTTTGCGGGACAGCAGGTAGGCGTTCATGTCGCCCCCGTCACAGAAGTCCATAACAAACCACAAGTAATAGGCACAGCACGGGTCGAATGTGATCTCGCCTTTCAGAGACGTCTCCACCAGCTGCAGTAGAATGACAGAAAAAGAGAGTCAACAAGAGACCACAGGTGATGACTGAGGGACAGTTAGCCTTTGCATGCTGCACATCCACTGACAGGCAGAGATCACATTTTTGCATCAATTACTGAGGCCAAAAACATTATGATTAACAGTGTAAGCAGGACATTTTCAAGCTTTCCTGGTGTCCTACTACTAGAGCTGCTGCTAGAGCTGAAATATAGTAAATTTGCACTTCTGTGTCTGCTGTACGTCTATTTGACATATAGAAAGGCGCAAAAAATCATGCTGCTAATGAAGACAGCAGCGCTGTAATCACAGTAAACACTGAACACGTGAGATAAAATAAAAGTAAGCCACTAAGTAAGATGTCTGACATCTGTACTTGCAGGAAATAACAACAAAGATAAGCACTACCTCAAACCCCAACAGACAAAGCTGCTACCAGCAGAACAAAAATGATTATATCACTTAGGTCTGGTGTAGCTTAGATGATTATTGATACAGCGGGAAACAGCTCCGCAGTGTGTGGAGGAGAAAATGTCACTCATAACTAAACAAGCAAGGTTGCTCTGGCTTTGTATTCATAACGTGTTGTCTCCCACCTTCCTTTATGGGCCATTTTTTAAATCAAAGCTGCGCGAGAGGCCTCTCATCCTTTATGCCTGCTGCAGAAAGTGAGTTCATTTAGTCTCCCTTTCTGACAGCGGACCCTAGACCGGTGAGGTTTCATCCATCTTACATCAAATTAAGATTAAATGGGATGTCGTCGTGGAATATGATAGATGGTGTTTTGTATTTAACACAGAAAAAGCTACAGGTTTGTTAAATGAAAACGTAGACTATTGACAGATACGTTTTCTGAGGAGAATTTTAGTGTGCTCGCAGCAGAATATGTTCATTTGGAAAATTTGAAAAGTTAAAATAATGCAAGAAGTGGAAGTGGAATTTAAAATACAATTAAAAAATAAATTAAAATACCAATTCCAATTAAAATAGAAGCACATCAGCTGAAGAGTAAATGTGCTTTCAGACTGCAAGCACCAGTGCGACGGCTGCCTGGCAACATCTGAGTTTTGAATTGACGTCAGTAGGGCGCTACTCCACCGCCGCTGTTCACAGGTACCTTCAATCTTAACAGCCTTTACACCACGGGCTATCAATTTAGAATAATCTAATCTCATCTACAGCAAACAGTGGTGATTTTGGTAAGCAGTGCCTGCCTGGTTCCCCCTCACTCTATGTTTTTTACAGGCTCAGACATCGTTCATCAAACATTATCAGCGTGCCTTCCTGCCAAATTTGCTTGTGGCTGGCAAAAAAAAAATAGACCAGACACCAAAACTAACACTAAGGAAGACCATGACTGCTGTGGATGTGGTGTGTGCTCTGTAGGGTTGTCATGAGAACCAATGAGAGCAGCTCTATAGTTGGTGGCAGAGTGACACATCGACACATTTGAAATGTCAATTGAGGATGAAGTGCGAGGGAAACTTGAAGTGTGTGTGCTGTAAATAGTTGGACTCTCAGTTGGTGTGTGACAGTGACACAAGTTAAACTATGAGTTGATTAACTGAAGAGTGTGACGTGTCAGCTGAGGCCGGCTAATCCACACATTAAAGCTTTTGATGTAAACTGCTTTACAGGCAACAATGTGCCCTGAATATGTGTAGTGGACAATTTCTAGTGGAAACCCTGCTGTAAACAAATGGCTGCAAATTGTCTGACACGCCACTCGCCAAAGAATGAACTACCCAGAAAGAATAGATTCAAATTATCCCACAGTTGGTGCGGTCAGATAACTCTGCCCTATTATCGTTTGTTCTTCTGTAAGCACGTACTGGAACATTACAGAGAAATAAAAAAGAGCTGGAATAAAGGGATTCTGGGAAAGAGTCCAATGCAAGCACTGCAGAAAACTGAATGAACGGTCTGACAATAGCCCCGCGTGCCGCTGAGAGACTATAATCAGGCACCAGCAGAGTGCCTGTGTGCCCGCCACCAGACAGCAGGGAGGCACTGTGACATGACAGGCTGCAGACAGGTTGAGTAGGGAGGGGAGGGCAGGGGAGGGGAGTCGCCCCCCCCCTTCAACCTGATAACACGTTCATGCCACTGTGGGGGCATGGAGACCAGGGACAATACAGATCCAACTAGAAACTTCCAGTGCATCAGCAGCACACACACGAATATAAACCAGGATCCAACTGCTTTGTTTTTACTCCAAGTGCCAATATTGATGCTTATATTTTCTGTCTCCATCATTGTAATCTCCAACACTATTATCCATAATATGTGTTTACACAACAAACAGCTGGCTTGCTGCTGATGACGAACTTTCTGTCACTGGAAAAATCACTGGCACGTTTAAACCATCAGGTCTACATCGTCACAGAAACATCTTGACAAGACATCTTTGCCAACAGCAACATGTCAGCTGTGGTTAGCAGTGAATGGAACAATGAACATCCCTCTTATAATCTAACGTAAGTCAGAGGATATCACGATAAATCAAACAGGCTTCAAATTCATTACAACAAATTAAAGCGTTCATCTATTTTAAGACACGGCAACATGTAGCCAGCCAACAAGTGCTTTTCAAACGGAGCTGCCATTGTCTCTGTGATGTGTGGACAGGAATGTTTGGCCTGATGTCTTGCCAACAAAGACTGAGTGTAAAGATGTTAAAGGTGAACAAGGCCCATTTTAAAATCCAAACATGTTATTCCTGTGGTCTAAGACAATCAAAAAATATTAATAAACATGAACAACTCTCCCAAATCCAAAAACTAGAGAGCTAAAACTTAAATTTGTGATGTCATAGGGTATAAAGCAGGGTTTTCCCTGTGGCGGGGGGCATCTTGACAGCTGTACTTTTCGATTCTATTAAATATGAAAGGAGGCTGAAAATCACAGGACATGTCTGTTCTGATGATACAAGTCAGCGGTCCTGAAATGTGTGTTTCTCTTCTAGGTATCTGCAGGTTTCACTAAGTTAAATTTAAGACTTTTTAATGCCACCTTGAATGGAATTTAAGACCGAAAAAACTATAAATATAAGTGATGGTTGGGGGATCCCGCTGTACTATAACCAGTGCTTAATTTGTAAAATTAAAAGTGGGGGAACACTTTGGGCCTCTGAGAAAGCAGTGTTCCCCCACTCCCAAAAGTGGGATACCAGTGAAAGTATCATGGTTCTGAGTAGTATCACGATACCACAGCAAAAATGAGGCAGATATGCCTTTTGTCATTTATAAAAAGATAAATCACTTTTCTATAATACATCAATGATATTTCAATGGAATAAATTACTTATTGACTTATTCATACTTCAAAAACAGCATCAATCAGTGATTAACATAGGGGGGATCAAAATAAAATAAAATAAATAAATGAAATAAAAATCAACCAGCCACCCTCCTCCCCTAACAGTCCTTTCATAAGTAAAGAACAGTCCCTAAAGTGCGGTGAGGTTTGTGGACCGTTACCTGCCACAGAGAGAAATGTGAATGGCTCGTTTCTCCTCTGACACATCACATACCTGAGTGCCGCCACGGCTCGGCTGTCCAGGTACTACTGGGCAGTCATGACGCCAACGAAAGAGGAAATTAGGCTACTGGACCTGGAGTCGGACTTCTCTGTCGCCGGTAAGCCGTTATTTTGTGCCACGGAGCCGCCGTAGGCTATTTGACCACCATATTCCTGTCTGTGACCCCCGTTCAACCCACAACCGGCAGGATTCGCCTTTCGTTTCTGCTGCTGGTTGAAATCTGGACTCGCACAGCGTGCTGAATGATTTATTTTGCTGGCACAAAACTATTTTTAGTCGCAAATGCGAGTAAAATGCTTGCACGTAGAGCTCTGTGGAAAGCAAATCACTGCCAGCAAGTAAAAAGAAATAAATAATAACTTTCACTGCTCAAAGATACTCACATGTCTGGAAAACAAACCACTACAGCAGCATATTGAGTGCCAGGTGGCCAGCACGGCCGTTAAGCCCTTTTCACACAGAGCCGACGAACCCATTCATTGTGTATGTGCTACTGCCAGCGCGCGCCGTTATTGGACGGCGCATGGACACTCACAGAAAAGTGCCGCGAGAAAAAAAAAAAAGAAAAGAAAGAAAGTCAGATTAAATATTCCTGCCGCAACAATTTTAAGACCTTTGAGTAATGAATTTAAGACCAATTTAAGACATTTCTAATGAATTTAAGACATTTTTAGGCCTTACTTTTAGATACATGAATTTAAGACTTCTTAAGACTTTTCAAGTATCCGCGGATACCCTGCTATAATACACATTCTACATCTCGGAGGCGACGTCTTTCCACATATGGGCTTCCTTTGCCTTTCAAATGGGGCAGAGCTCTGTGGGAAACTGTAGGAGAGACACAGCCTGAGGGGGAACTGGGATCTGACACAACACCGGAGGGAGAAGCAGGTCCGTGGAGCTGTGCGCCGGACGAAAAAACAAGTGTGTCACACCAAAAGCGCGCCACTACGACGTTGCTTTGGGTTGTGAGCGCGCATGATGCGATCTACACTGAAAGGAATGGGTTTGTGAGCAAAAGATGCTACATCATTGTCTATGGAGCAGCTCCAGACTTTACACTCTATGACATCACAAGTTTGAGACTTACTCTCTGATTGATTGAACTTTAGGAAGCCATGGAAATAACATACTGTAATTATCATTATAGATGGTGTTCCCCTTTAACAAGATCTGCTTTTCACAGGGGTCTAAGCAAACAACGGTCTTAATGTTGCAGTACACAGACGTCACGGTTCGGTTCACGACCCCGGTTTAGAAATTCTGTACAAATTTGGTGTAGCAGGAGGATATAACAAATGCATGAGGATGTGTTTCTGTGTGTTTATATGTTTATTTTAACCAGACATTTAATTCAATGGCAACCGTTTTTGTACATGTACTGGCTTCACAAATTCAAGGCAAATGATGATTTTGTGAGTAATTCCTTTACAAAAGATGAGTAGCCAGTCAATGTTGCAGTGGCTTGTTAGCACTATTGGCTTACCTAATTAGAAGACAGTAGACTTATCAATTTAAATATCAAAATCAAATATAACTTAGATTTTCATTTGTAAATACAAATAAAAAATCGAACAGCGACACAACACAAAACAGCACTGCAATATGTGCATCCCTGTCAGACAGTACTCTCCATGCCTCATTAGGACTAGGTAATAAATCAATACTGTATGTAGGGCACTGATCAGATCATCATGATGGACGCCATTCTTATGGAGACAGTTTTGATGGAGTGAAAACAGGCAACAGAAAACTCAACTAGAGCTAAATTATCTTCAGTCTGTATTGTGTCTGGCTGCTCTGGTCCAGAGGTTTCACTGCTAACTGGATCTTATCACTCCAAAGCTTCACTGAGAATAATCAGGTTTCTCTTTCGTTTTCTTCAGCGTCAAAATGACCCGGTGATTGTTGTCTGTGCATCCATGGGTGTAATGACAACAGGAACTGGTTATAGCTAATGCAGCGTACTTTAATGTTGACAACTTGCCAAAATGCAAACAAAGACACTGACAGACTTTGAAATCTCCTGCTGTGATATATGGGTATAATCACATGCATGCAGGAGCTTCAAGTGGATTATTCAAGTTTTACTTCTGTGGATTTAAACTGAAAGAAAAGTCCTGTGCTTAAACAAAACGTACAGAAAAAGATCTGTCCAGTGTGCAAAGCCACAGGTCCTAATCTCAACATTAGTCATATTATTATTATCCATTCATAGACAGTGTTAACCATCAGCAGGGGATAGAGGATATTACTAATCTAGAACTAACATGTCCACTTGCGTGACGCTGATCTGCCTACAAAGCTGTAAGCTACATCCTGTGACATTTCCTGCATACAATTTAAAGTCAATCAGTTCTCTTTCCTGGAAGGCTTTTACTGTGACGTAGCTGCAGGAGGTGTTGAGTGTGTTCTTCACCAGCACAGTAATACCACTCAAAGTGAAGTAAACCAATTCACCACTCTAATAAATGAAGTAATCGATAGCTGGCACCATCAACATTGTTTTAAAGCTTGTACGTATCATCTTCACTCTTCAACATCACCTCAGGTTTACTGTTAAACTACAGCACACTGCCCCCAACCAAGTGATGTGTCCTCACCTCCAGGTAGAGCGGGGAGCTGGAGCCGTGGTTCATCCTCTGAGCCAGCTGGTCCCGCTGCAGGATGCACTCCTCCAGGTGGATGACGTTTGGGTGCTGGCTTTGGATGCTGCTGAGGGCCCAGAACTCCCGCAGGGCGAGCTCCACATTCTCCGGAGAATGGCAGCGGATCTTCTTCACCGCCACCCGGGCGCCTGTGCGCTTCACCACTGCCTCATAGACCACACCGTAACTGCCACGCCCCACCTCCTGGATCAGCTCGTACTTCGGCTGGCTGCTTACCATCCTAGTCCTCACTGTGGGTAGAAAACACGGGCTTAGCTTTTTAAAGAAGCTGTTAACTTTCTCTGTGGCTATAACACTTGTTAGACACTAAACAAACAATTTTAGGATGGATGAATAAAGAACGTACATCTTTTATTATCCTTAAAACCATTAGTGGGCTAAATTATGTTAAGTTCAGTCAGCACCAGAGGAAAGCTTATGGTGTTACCTACACAAATTTTTTACCCTGGCTTCAGCGGCCACTTTGGGACATCTGAGGCTCAGCTTTGTGTTTCATCAGTATAAGTTCCACTCCAGCAGCCTGAGATCATCATCCATCAGTTACTGCTGCACCTCATTAGACTCAGCTGTTTGAACTTTGTCGAGCTTAGCTGTAATTACCGTTTGCCGCAGCCTCTTTGATGACGCTGCCAACAGTGGACACAGTGTTTGACATATTTTCAGTCCTAATACATGTACAGACCGATTCAGACTTTTGTCAGGTAGCCTATATCTTAGCACAGTGATCATTAGGGATAGGTGTCAGTCTGGTGCTAGACCCAACTAGTCGATTAAGTGCTGCTACACTCAGACGTCAGCGTGAGAAACACCAGTGGGTTAAAGTTATGATGAAGATACTCAGAGGAAAATGGGAGGAGTTTGGACTGGCATGCAAGACTAACCAGCAGTCCTGATCAAGCACACACATACACACTAGCACAGACAGTATGTATGAGCTTCAAACACATTTGCACTGGCTGGATGTGTTCTCACTAGGCTGAACGAGAGAGGTGCATGTGTGTGTTTCAGAATGGAGATGAGGTTAGGTTAACTGGTGACTCTAAATTGTCCCTAGGTGTGAATGTGAGTGTCAATGGTTGTCTGTCTCTATGTGTCAGCCCTGTGATAGTCTGCTGACCTGTCCAGGGTGTACTCTGCCTCTCACACAATGTCAGCTGGGAAAGGCTCCAGGTCTCCCCACGACCCAGTGCTAGGATACGCAGATAAGGATAATGAATGAATGAATGTCACTGGTTCGTTTTTATCAAGTGAGCTGTTCTGTTTTAAAGGATGTGTAAATTTAAAATAAGATTTAGTTACTGAGAATGATCTTCTGATATATGCAGTTTAACCTCATAAAATAAAGTTGGCTGAATTTCAACTACTTTACGACCCCAAATTTAACTGTTGTTAACACCAGTGTCTGTTGATACAGCATAGGAGTCACGTCTGCTGTCTGGACATCACTTGTTAGCAGGCAGCCTCACATCTTTTCTAAGGGAATGTGTCATTCAGTGTATTTGGCATTTCACCAGGCTCTACAGTCCCCAGCAATGATATACTGGAAATCACCCCTGAAAGCCAACATTATTTTCCTTTTGCTCCCTCTTGTGGACTAGTAAACCTGACATCTTCCCTCAGCCACAAAATAAATTTCCCTTTTTCCTGAGCCACACACTCTCTCTTCAAATCCTAATAACTTTCCTGGCCTGTAATCAAGCTCCTCAGTACATCTGAATATTAAAACAAACAGACCAAGCTGCTCCCCAACACTGCACACTTGACTGGCATCCTGGGGGAAGAAGGTGGGTGGTATTTTAATAGATCATTGACATGTGTTCTGGGTCCCTGGAGCAAAAACACATCTTTTTTTTTAACGAATAAACACAACAGCATCTCTTATTATCGTTCAGTGTGATGGCAGAGCACATCATAAAAGAGCAGCAGGAAACTCACCCACTGAAAGAACACAATGAGGAAACCTACACACACCTCCTGCAGACTTTTAGCACCTTTACAGAGCAGCGTGTCCAAGATGACCACCGCACAAACCTCACACATGTCCACCACACTACAGTGAAACTGACACCACGTTTCACAAATTGGTGTCAGTTACAGGGTTATTATGTTACCATGTAGAGGTGTTTATGACTGCATGTCCCTGCACCTGCACTTCACACCAACATGTAAAGCATCCCACACATCGCTGTGCCACTGAGGCTTATATGCTGATGTACGACAAGCAGTTTACATTGAAATTGGAAAGTGTGGAAAGGGCACATCTTACAAGACGAGGTCAAGACATGCCAACAGTTTCACTCCTCCTTATTATGTAGTTACATAATCCACATCCACCTGCCAGAGCAGAAAATAGCTCCAGGGCTGCAACTAATGATCACTTTCATAACCAGGTATTCTATTAAAAGAGAACTACGTCCATTTTCAAGATTCATATGTGTTATTCATATGGTTGAACGCCTCGTAATGTGCCTGCAAAATCCCACCCCTCCACAATATTTCGGTCACAAATTTGCTTTGGGTATGTCAAAAAGATTTAACTCTTGTGGTGGATTTCGGAGAAACATGACAGTGTGCTAGCTTAGCTAACAGGCTGCTAACTAGCTAACAGGCTGTGACCTTCATTTCAGTTGCCTGGTGATTGTCAAGTGAGTCTGTATGATTAAAAATATTTATCTACTTTGAACACACTGTAAATCTGAGTAGTGTTATTCTGCTAAAATATAGTTAAACATTATATACAGTCAGATTGTCATTACGACTTGTTCAGCTGTTCATATGTCTTTTTAATTAAATATTTCACGAAATACTGGATGGGGAAAAACAGACAAAATTAGCCTCTCCGACCATGACTACAGGTAGTTTCTAGGTATCTACCCATCCGTAAAGAAAGAAATGCACTTCCTTGCACAGGACACTTGATGCATCATCTGTTTATTTACGCATCTACAGACACTAGTCACATACATAAGTGGAAACGAGGCTTAAGACAGTTTAAAATATGAGTAAATATTGGACAACTCCCTCCTAAATCTAAAAACCAGTGTGCTAAAACTCAAATTTGTGATGTCACAGTGTGTTAAGTCTGGAGCTGCTCCATAGACAATGAATTGGTAAAGATGTTAAAGATGACAGTTAGAGCATCCAGGTGAATGTTCTGAGTATATGGGAACATTTTCTGTTTCAGTATTGAGACACTACGATAGAGTAAAGCTCATTTGGGTATAAAGTAGAAAACAAACATCCCATTCATTGTCTATGGAGCAGCTCCAGACTTTATACTGTGTGACATCACAAGTTTGAGACTCACAAATATTGATCAAACTTTCCTAGGTCATGGAAATAAGATACTGGAATTCTTAATTTAGGTGGTGTTCCCCTTTAAGTTTTCCAACAACTGATTAAGATACTTAAGCATTCTGTTAAGACTAAATGTGAAGGAAAACAGATGTCTATAAATTTGTGGAACTACAGTCTACAGTTTTTATTCATCATTGATGCTTTTATTTATTTTACATTTTTAACTATGGTTTTATTGCATTTTACTTCATGTTGCCACTTTCAAATAAGTTTCTCTTTGTTTGTTTTTTCCTATGTCTAAGTGCTATTGTTTTACTCAACTACACTATAAACGAGGTCTCTGTGTATTTCAGAGTTAAAATAAAGGTTGAATGAATGAATGACAGAAAGAGCTGATTATTTCCATCGCCCATTAACCTGATTATATTGTAAATTCATTATTAAGTGCAAGGTGACAAGTTTAAACTGCTTGTCTCGTCCAAACAACAGTCCAAAACCCAAAGATATCCAATGTGCAATCACATAATGTAGATAATAGCAGAGTATCACATAAAAAATTTCATATATAACAAGCAGGAAACTGAGTGTTTCCCTTGTGATTGATAAACCCTTCATTTTTTTGAATAATTGATTGAGAATAATTGTTCCAGCATTACTTTGACTTCTACACAAACACAGCATTAATAGTAGTTATCATTATTCATTAATAATTTCAATAAACTGTGGTAAACAACAGCCTCACAAAAAACTACACTGAGTGTTGGTTTGGCCAATTCAATAACACATGTCATATATATGTGGCACATGTTACATAACATTACATCTGCTGGCTATGAGGAGTGGGAGCTCATTTTATTCAGACAGTCTTTTTAAGTTGAATTATTAAAACTACATAACTGTTGTTTTCAATAATAAACAATAAGCATGAGCAGAATATAAAGACACTTTAACCAAACTCACAGTGGACAACTATTCACTGACAGTTCAAACTCACCCCAGCACCTGCCTGTACGTGGCTACCCACTGGACAAATCACAAAACTTCATTTTAATATATATATATACACTTGACACTTGCAGATTTAGTGATGAGAAACATCCCCAAAAAAAGTCCGAAGCGAAACGCTGCCCCTGTGACAGAGAGAGTGATAGCCCAGCATGCTAACGGGCTAATTAGACATCCACTGGGCTGATTGGCTAACAGGCTAACAGCTATGTGGCCTGGCCACCGTCAGCTAACGATGTTGTTGGTTAGCTAACGTTAGCTAATCACGTTAACAGCAGCTAACAAAGAGTCCAGCTCGCGCCAGCACAGCCGACACATACAAGCTAACTGTTCACCTCAGATTCAAACCTCACACAAGTCCGCTGCTCCTGAGCGCTGCTAGCGCGAGGGCACGGAGGAGGCACGCATGATAAGCACTGGGTATTGACAGTTTATTGTCCAGCGTGTGTATGTGTGTGCGCGCGTGTATGTGTGCGTGTGTGTGCCATCAAGAATCCAACCAGATTCCTCAAAACACACCTGCGAGCCGAGTGGACAAGTCGCCACAGCGCGCGAGACAATAGTGTAGATGTAGAGGAGGGTGCAGAGTTGTCATGTCTGCGCTCTCACCTGTGAGTCGTCTCTCTGGGGTTCATTTGTTGTCTTCCTCACTCTCCCTGGCAGCCATTACCGCCGCACACGTTCTGCTCGCATAGTCACACCAAGGAGGTTTTGTCAAACACTGGACGTGAGCGCGTGCAGCTGCTGTGCGGTGCTGCGCAGCGGCGGCCAGGCTGAGGCGACTTCCGGTGACGCGTTTCAAAATAAAAGCCCGTTTGCTGAGAACAATAAAACTTTAATTTATACTTTTCTAAATTCTTAGACAGAGAGAACAGCTGTAATTTTTGTAACACAGACCCAGAATCTCTTATACATTTATTAAATTATTGCAGATATTCAAATTCCTTTGGTCTCATCTAAAAAACTATATATTGTGTAAAACTAATAATAATAGCTTACTGAAATCAGCTGCAAAAATGTAATTTCATATTTTGATTGGGCTAAAAGATATTTTGACTTTGTTGTGAACTTACACAAATGTAGAATAGTAAAAATCACCCCAAACTTTACTGCTTTTACGCATGAATGTGAGGAATATCTGAACCCTCAAACTTATTAATACAAAAAAAACCTCTAGAATTATATAATAATTTCTTTAAGGAGGAATAATATGTATGTTTCTGTTTGTTTTTCTTTCTGTCTGCTTGTTTGTTTGTTTTTTCATTTTTATTTTGCACGTAACAAAGTTATCATGTTTTCATGATGTCTGCAATACCTTTTATTAGGCCTGCTTATTTATTTGAATATGTACTTATATTTGTCTAAACGCAAGGAGTACATGTCTGCTGTTTTGTGAATCTCTATACCTTTCAATAAAGTTTTGAAGAAAAAAAAGAGAGGACAATAAACCGTGATCTGGCATACTAATATTTTTATAATGTCTAAACATTCACCATCTGGAAATATGGAATATATCCAAAATTTAAAAATAAAACCCTAATCTTCAGCTACAGCACCGTAACAAGTTACCACAGGAATTACATTACTGTCATTCATTTATTATTATTATTATTATTATTATTATTATTAACATACATTTAATAAATATATCTGAAGCAAATAATTGATGATCAATTTTATTTTATTGTGTACTAATAATATATATGTATTCAACATGAGGGTTGCAGGTAATACAATCAGTGTTGGGAAGTAACTAGTTACATGTAATTGAGTTCCGTAGCCTAATTAAAATACAAAATAAATCAAGATTAAATTGTAATCAGTTACTGAGAAACAATTTGTAATTAAATTCTAGTTACTAATCAAAATGTTAGTGATACAAAATGGTTACATCTGAAGATGTTCTTTCAGGTAAATAAAAAACATTATTTCTGTCACTTTGTATATTTTCGTCGAAGAAGATCGTTGACTTTTGGCATATTTACAACGCCAGTCATCAAAGCTAAAACTAATTTAAGTGCACTTTTTATCTTTATTGCCCACGTTAAAACATTTGTCACAAAAGTAATCAAAAAGTCATCAAATGTAATAAATGTCATTACTTTGATAAAATAATTAAAATAGTTACATTACCTATTACATCTTTACAAGGTAACTAGTAGTAAATTAAACTAAATTATTTCACACCACACGTGCTTGTTTTTACAGTTATATAACTTTAACAATTTCATAAGTTCTTTTTCCTATTAGTGTAAAACCATATTTTTAAGGGCAATGACAGCACTTCCGGCCTCACCCTTAGCTGAATGTGTCCAGCTTTATGAAGCTCCCCATGTCTGTGTCAATAGGCAGCCAGTCAGTACAATGCGGACGCCCTCTGCCCTCCTCTCAGACCGAACTGTCACCGACAGGGGGTGGACACAATAACGTGAACACCTGCGCTGACCTACAAACGCCATTCTTGATGAAACTTATAATTTGACTTTTTTTTTTTTAAGATAATGACAGATGTGTGATATGTGGAAGGCCCACTTAACAATATTTCCATTCCTCCACAGTTAAAAATCTCTGATCCGACATCGTCACAGGTCTATTCCAAAGCGTAAACACAAGAAACAGGTCAATAAAACACAAATCTTCAATTCTTTAAAGAGCTTTAATTTTCCATTGTATTGCAGCACAGTTTGTTTGAGATGACACTGAAAGACAAACTTAATAATTGAGTTAAATAACCCTACAATATGTGTTCAGCACAACCCTGAGTAGACCCACTAAGTAAAGATTCAATTTACACCCAAAGACAACATGGCCATTCTTCATCAGAACATTCTTCATCTGTACAGTTAACGGTCAGAGACTCAAAAATGGTGGGTGTGTCTGCTCTGGTGGGTAAAGATAGGCGATGGGTGTCAGTTGAAATAATGCAAGTGAACATCTTATCTGTGTTTTCATCAGGTCTTTTTGTGTCTCGCTATTTCCTGAAAACAAGACTTCTTTCAAAAGCCCCACTTTGGTCTCACGAAGTCTTGTTATATCGGCAGCAACAACAGGCATTAAGATACTAGAAAAAATATAGAGTAAGGTCAATGAGGTAGCACACATCACAATAAAAAAGTAAAATAGAAAAAGTAATAAATACTTGAACAGACCACTTCATAAACAAAAAATATACATTACATACAAAATGTTTTTTTGGACACGCTGTTCACATGCTGTCCAAAATCACACCTGAGGTAGACTTGTATAGATTTGTGACAAGAAGAGTTCTGTCTTGTTCACACATGAGAAGGAATACAAACTACAACAAAACAAGACAAAACACTGGGACTGAAGGAGAATATTATACATGATAGATCAGACACTGCATCATGGTGAGCTCAGGTATCATGACCCCTAATGATGATCTGCAGGTTATTGATGCTCTTAAACATCCTTTGTGCTGTGTCATCAGGTCCCAGTCCCATTAGCTAATCTATTCATCTACTCGTTATCATGCAGACACATCATAAATATTAATATACCTGAAAAAGACGATGAATATTTACAATAAAAACAACATCATGGTGATGTTTAAAATATAGTGTCTGTGATAAACTGTGTTAATTTTTATTCATTTATTTTCTGAGACAACTTTTCGGTGCTGGTGAGTTTTTCTTTTCTTTTTTTTATTTATTTTTTGTTGTTTTTTCACTTTGGACAGAGCTGACTTGCCATTTCCTTCTGCTTCCTCGCTTTATGCTAAGCTAAGCTAAGCTAAGCTAAACAGATCTTGGCTCCAGCTGCGTGGGCCTTCTTGATGCACAGGTATGAGAATGATATCGATCTTCTTATCTCACACCCGTAAAGAAGGGATGTCAATAAACTATTTTTTCAATGCTATAAATGGCGAGCGTGTGTTAAGACTCTAACCCTAACCCTAACACAGATGCGGTAGCTCATGAGCTAGCTAACTGGCTAATCTACTGAGCTAGCTCAGTGGGCCAGGTAACTACCAAAGGTGGGACCAAGTCATTGCTTTGCAAGTCAAAAGTTAGTCAAGTCAAGTCATGACAGTCAAGTACCAATTCCTAAACTTGTAATGTCAAGTCTTGCACTTGTCATAATGTGGTCTTCACCTAATCACCTAATGTAATGTCATTTTAACAAAAGAGTTAAAACATATTCAACTTACAGAAATAGTGAATGCTTTTTAAAACAGTAGGTGTACTTATTTGTGAAAACGAATTTGTTGAAAGCCTCCCTGTTTGAAATTTTCGATCCGCATGTTCTGCATACTGCAATTCAATTTTCGTTGGCCACCACTTAGATTTAACACACGAACGAATTTATCTTTATATCAGATTCAGGGTCTTGTTCAGGAGTGGGGGTTGATCGGCGGTTTGGTGTGCCTTATGCAGTGATGCAGGAGCTGCATCAGTCTGTCATGGTGAAGAGGGAGCTGAGCCGGAAAGCTTTCAATTTACTGGTCCATCTACGTCCCAACCCTCACCTATGGTCATGAGCTCTGGGCAGTGACTGAAAGAATGAGATCACAGACACCACAAAGCGGTGGAAATGAGTTTCCTCCGTGGGGTGGCTGGGCTCAGCCTTAGAGATAGAGTGAGGAGCTCTGACATCCAGAGGTGAGCTCGGAGTAGAGCCGCTGCTCCTTCGCGTCGAAAGGGGTCAGTTGAGGTGGTTCGGGGATCTGATCAGGATCCTCCTGGGTGCCTCCAGTTAGTGGTGTTCTGGGCACGTCCCACTGGTAGGAGGCCCCGGGGCAGACCCAGAACACACTGGAGGGATTACGTATCTCATCTGGCCTGGGAACACCTCAGGGTCCACCAGGAGGAGCTGGAAAGCGTTGCTGGAAAGAGGGACATCTGAGGTGCTTTGCTTGGCCTGCTACCCCCGCGACCCCTCCCTGGATAAGTGGATGAAAATGGACGGATGGATGGAACAGATTTTTCCGACTGGCACACATGAAACTTGACTAGACTTGTCCAAACAAAGTGGATCTGGAGAGTTAGCCAAAGTGTTGCCTTGCTAGGAGTGAATAGCGTTGACTCAGGAAACGAAGGGAAATTAACTGAATCGTGGTGCATTTTTTAAATAATGAAATTGTTAATCTTGGGCTTGGGTGAAGGTATCACATATTTTCAAGTCAAAAGGCTCAAGTCAAAGTGAAGTCACAAGTCATTGGTGTTAAAATCCAAGTCATTAATCCAAGTCATGTGATTTGGGTCCACACCCCTGGTAACTACTCTGTTTAGGCTCCATAATAGCAACGTTAACCTTTTGAAATACTACCAGAAAAAACAGGCTGCTTCTCTCCTCTACAGCTGGTTTTTATATAGCATGACAACATTTCTACAGTCCCACTCCACTGTAGCTAAATATCTTAAAACGGCATCACATCATCTGTTTGACCACTTGTCTACATGTCAAATAGGTCCACATTAGCAAAGCACAAACCCTACCAAGAAATCATACTGAAGCATGCACAGTGTAAAAGGGTGCTCAGTATGGACGGTTCCTTTAAGTCATGTAACGCTGTCACAGTGCTTGCTGCTCTGTGGTGTATGGCAGACAATGACACTGTGAAAGTACACGGCTCATTTGGCAGTTAATGCCCTGGGTCCTCCAGCACACCAACACAGTAAATAACTTAAACATCCAGACACATCCTCAAAGACACGAGGTCAAAAAAAGTTCTCCCTGAGTTCAAAAATAAAATAAATGCAGTCTGATGTTACTGAGAAACCATTACATTCACAAATATAAACATTAAACACTGGAATGCTGTTTTTTCTGTGTCATGACAATTCAGTTAATTTGCAAAATGATACCGTCAGTCAACTGTAAAAGAGGGGTCAGAGTTTGTCCAAAAGCTGTGACATCCTTAGTTTTGATTGGTACAAAGATGTTTCTGAATCACAGCACAGGATCAAATGAGCTGTCAAACGTCCAGGAGAACAGCTCTGAATAAATAGTTAATATAAAAAAAATAATGTCTATATACATTCATCCCCTTCACTAAAACGAGTGAGGACAGATCTCAGCTACTTCCTGCTTCACCTACAACTTTCAAATACAATAAATGAGCAACTACTGTTAATGTGAAAATATCCCTGATATACGTGTGAACATTCAGATTAATACTGTTTCGCAGACAAACTCTGCCGTACAATCAACACTGGTCTTGCATATAAGTTTAAGTGACGAAATGGCAACTTGGTAATTAGAGTAAGACGTAAACTTCACCACAACTACAGACAAAGTAGAATTATTCTTCAAGAGCATGTGTGTGGTGAAATAATGTTGTTTTTAGTGGAGGTTATGGCACTTATGTTGTGACATTCACTTTTCACTATAATACCTGAAAATGTTTTTCCATAAAGGCGGACACAAATGTTTTTAGCAAAATATCTGGCAGCGCAGGACATGTTGTCTCGCTTACATTCACATGGTGGATTGTTTACCTCATTATTTAAGTTTAGTAATTAAAAAAAAATATTGGCAATTTACAGCAGAGTCTAAGGGACACTTTTTTTTTTAGGATTTTGGATTACAATAATATTTTGAGGAGAAGATGTAATGATGAATAAAGACATTTCAGAAAAGGTTTTGATTCTCAGTGGAATTTTACAAAAATAAAAATGATATACAAAAAATGTTTGTCATATTTTGGGGGGAAAAGAGATGTTTACTACAGCTATTCTCACTATTTACTACTCTTATATTTTTGACTTCTCAAATGTTTGGATTATTTTTTTTATTTCCCTGCAGTGACCCTAATACTCTGTGGCACCACTTTATCTCACTTCATCAACAGGGTATTATCAACACATTACAGTCTAGTCAGACCTTGTTTTATGTTAAAGCTTTAGAAGAAATATTAACACGTTTGTTGAATTTGCTAATCAAGCTAACTCGTGGCTAATCTAACTAGTTAGCAAAATGGATAAAGCTATGAGTGTACAATGGTGTATGTGGAGGCTACATGTTAAAGGTCCTGACAGTAACTAACAACGTAAAGGAGCTGTATGTGAAATTCAGAGCGTATGAGTTGTCAACATGGAGGTGGTGAGGCCGGCAGCTAGCAGCTAATGATGCTAACTCCATAAACAGTGCTAAACAATGGCAACAGTGCTAACAGAGCTAACAGTAGTATTGGGCGAACCAGAGGGTGGGTGCTACTCTATCGCAACGATGTCGTCCAGATATAAGCCTCTCTGTAGCCCCTTTTACACTGCCAGATTTTCCACGAATGTTGGGCCAATTTGCCGGCTAGCTGCGACACACAGAGCCGGATTGGCGAGTTGATCCGAGGTGCCCAATTTTCCACCTTGGAGGTTAAGTCATATTGGCGGAACCTTTTTGGTTTAAACAGACTGAGGCGCCCTTCCGCAACGGGAACGGCTGTTGATGACTTGTGGGAGGGGCTGTTGATGACGCCGCACGTGCGACCCACTGGCGGTGGATAAACAGGAAACAGCTGATAGCAGGAATTAGCGAGCAGCTAGTAGCAAGAGGGAAACACAAACCTGACAGACACTGTAAAGATGAGCAACTGGGGAGACAAGGAATTGTGCGCCCTCCTTGTCCTCACAAACCAAGAGGCCATTAACCATCAGATGACGGGGACGGTGAAGGACGGGCCGACTTACGAGAGAATCGCCGTCTGACTGGCTGTGGCTTCCCTCCCATGTCACTGTTTACGGCACACGCTGAGCTACACGTTTTGTTACTTGCTCACGCCCCCCATTGCCCCGAAAAAGGCGCATTCTGTATAAACAAAATTTTGTTTTTATACTGCCAATGCTGAAAAAAGACTGATTGGGCTTTTCTAAAAAGGGCTTATGACTGCAGCTATTCGGTAAGCCAGTGGGATACACACATGCAAACGTAGCCAGCCCGGCTTACCACAACAAACCACAGAGAAGCTCAGACTACAGCATACAAAGAGATAGTGCGACTTCATTCTCTGCTCTGACGCCATTACTCCACTGTATCTTTACATAGCAAATAGTGGTTTGCTGCCATATTAATGCTCTGAAAGTCACATACAGGACCTTTAACAGAAGGTCAAGAACATCTACATTGTCACCTTTGTCACTTGCCCTGAGATTTATCTCAAAGTTTAGTACCATTTCGAGGTAGCAAATGAACTAAAGTATAAGTACTGGGAAAATGTGAGAGCCACATTCATGCCTGAGTGTAGTGGCCTCTCTCGCAGCAGGTATTTGATTTGTTACAACTGGAAACAAAAGAACAGAACATTAAACTAATGAATGATGCATCAGTTCCTATGAAGTGTCCTAATAAGGCATGGCAGTAGGTCAGCATGCATAATACCCAAAACCTAACTGGAATGCAACGTGTTACCACTTGCATTTGTGTTTTTCCGGCTCTGACATGTGAAAACCTATAAAATACAGAGGTCTAATAGAACCATCATGCTGGTTTTATAGATGTCATATATCTGCAAACCCATATATCAAATTCTCACACACCCTGTATGTGTGTGATGCTTTGGAGAGTTTTTAAAGAAAGGCTCATTTAACTGAGGCACACGTCATGTCAGATCAGTCATGACATGTGTGGCTACTACACGGCTGAATCAACAGTAAGTCTGATTGTTTCATTCCAAAGCTAAGACACTTATCCGAGGCAGAAAAACAACCTAAGAAATGAAAGTTTTCAAAGTGGACATGTCTGCCAGCTCTCTATCGAACAACACACCTCATCAGCACCGCAGCAATGACTCCTCAATAAATAAAACCTGAGGTAGCTCTTTGTAAAAGCAGTGTTCCAGTGGAAAACCTCAAGCATTCACTCTGAGTTCTCAGAGAGGGCGGCCTGGCTTTGCTCCTCTTCCTCGTCTCTCTGTGAGGTAGCTGGTCCCTGAGAGCCTGGAGACGAATGCTGCTGCTGCTGCTGCTGCTGCTGCTGTGCTTTGATCGGACAGCTGGCCACCATGTGGGAAACACTCTGACAGCAATGGCACTTTTTGGGCTGAGGCGGCAGCTGACACTCTTTGGCATGATGGCCGGGTGCTCCACAGTTGTAGCATCTGGAATAAATAGAAGACAGGGAGTGACCTCATTTTGTTTTTCTTTTCTAAATAGTTCCTGAATTATATAAATTTATTCTACTGAAACATTTGTTTTTACTTTCATTTTGTCATGTGTGTCTAACATTACAGTAATGTAGAACAATATAAAGAGAACCAGGCTACTGAAACTGCCGATACCTTGATATGAGCGTATTGTCACCTGATACAGTTCCTTAAACACTTGCTGCGTCACTCTAAGCAGTGATAAAGAGACAGGTTATTTTTGGAGGCAGTGATGCACTTACCTTTGACATACAAGTCAAATGCTCTGATGTGTGAGTGACGGCCTTCTGCAGCACTAAGGAAGTGCTCAGTGTTACAGGATGTGGTGATTGCTCTTAATGTTTTAAGATCTGCAACAGCGCTTCAGGATTTCAAAGGATGTTGTCGATGTCATATATTAGGAGCAAGAACAGTTGCAGTACTAAACACTTACACTGAGTGTGTGTGTAAGGGTGTACTAGTTTTGACAAGCAAGTGGTTTTCATTGAATCTGAACACAAATCTGTCTGCAGTGAAGTGCTTCATTTCCACCACCGGAGGGCAGCACACTCCAGCTTTGGTGTCACATCCCGCCGTCTTTAACACATCTGTCACCATGCATCCACATTAACTGCAGTCCCAGTGGTGCGCAGCTGTTAAGGGATTTGGCCAAATTGATCTCTGTCCCTCAGGAGACTGTGTGAGGGATACTTTGACAGCCAAACTTAGAGCTGGCTTTGTTGCTCTTCCAAACAAGATAAAAGGGTGGACGTTGGCTTTGCAGAGTGTTTAAAGTCTTATTGCTCTTCACTGAAATGTTTGAACATACTGTTCCAGAATGATGCTTGAGCAGAGTTTGTTCTCACATTCACCTGCTCAAGAGGAAAGTTAATCTTAGTTTGACACTTGAATTCATAGATTCAGGATTTTTCATTGAGGGGGAAAACGTAGATGTCCTGTTGAAGTGTTTCAACTACTTAACTGAACATTTAATAGTTCTTGGATCTTTTATTTCTTGGATCTTTTTCTCACACATTGTACCCCCTGTCCTCCATCTTTGTAGTCCATGCATGCTATGGGACCACAACACCAATGAGTGTGATCTTATGTGAGCGATACACAGATGTGTTGAATGTTTTTAAACCGAACATTTCTTGCAGTCTGTTTGCTGAGTGTGTTTAAGGAAAGTCTATGACTGAATGGAACTAAATATATTCTGCAGAATATGGTAATAGGGCTATACTTAATATCACAATATCAAAAGTATTTGTCCAGTATGAATATTTTATTACCAAGTGACAACTTCTAGGGCTGAAAAATGAAACCAACACCATAGTGCCAAAACTGCAGTTCCTTGAATGGCCACTTGAGGCTGGCTCCAAAAGCGAGTCAATCCCCATAGACTCCCATGTTAAAATGCCCAACTTAACAGCAGAAATAAACGTATCAGTTTTGTGTACTAAGCACCAGAGTTGGAAATTAACTTAACTGTCAATCTGCCACTGTGGCTGGTGGATCTACCAGCCGCTTAACAGAGTACCATTGTTTTTTGGCTGGTGACTGGTGCTAATTTCCAAACCCTGTACGTACGTGGCCACTTTGAGTGAGCGGTGGGTGTCGTCTGTTGACAAGTCGCTACCACAGTGACAAATTGGTTAGGTAACATAACCATGGCATAACCCCAGATTTACAGAACATAGGAGTAACTGTACCTGTCGCTGTTTCAGTGTATTTTCAGTTCATGAGTGTGAGGCTAACTATGTAACATTCACCTAAGAAAGTTTTGGTCGAAGACAGATACTGAAAATCTTGCTGGCAGCCTGTAAAAAGGCCACCACGAAGAGATGGTATAAGGCAGAACCACCAACACAAGATGAATGGCTGAAAATTGTGAATGAAATACATGATATGGAAGTGTTAACCCACACGATGAGGACTCGAGGAGCGATGTTGAGAGAATAGGGGGTCGTGTTAACATGTCAATGATAAGATGAGAGACTCAGTAACTGACTATGTCGGAGTGATGAGTGAATTTTGAGAGACAGGGCAATCTCCTTTTTTTTACCTTTTTATAACACTTTGTAAAAACAATAAAACGAAAGTGTTAAAAAAAGTAAAGTTTTGGTCACCTAAGAAAGTCTTGTTCAGTGTTTGGTTGAACTTAAAGGCTCTCTAAGGAGATCTAGTTTTTCTGGTAAGTGGTTTTAATGGTTTTAAGCATGTTTTTCACTAACTGATATTAGCATTTCAAAGTTAAACATGGCTATAAATACACTGTGCTAAGCTAGCAGCTCGTGTTATCCACAGTTACCCACGCATCCTGTCTACATATGGTCACCTCTGGCTCCAAAAATCCAAGATGGCAACGGACAAAATGCCAAAGAGAAGCACACAAACCAATGATGTGACATCACGGTGGCTACGTCCACTGGTACTGTGCATACTGGCTCACTAGCATGGCTTGAGCTGACCAGACACTGTGTATGTTAACTTGCACTATATTTTAAACTGTGCGGCTTTAGTCTGCGACTTTTGTGCTCACACTGTGCAGATTGTCTGGCTAAAAATCAGGCTAAAATCAGGCATATCTGTGTCACAGTATCTGCCCACCTTTACTGAGACACTTCATGGAACAGAGCCATCTTCTTCAGATTCTATCATATTTTCACAATAAGGTGCTAATTAAAGACAACAGATGAGACATAATTCTGCTGTTAACAGGTCAAAGCATGTATGAATCTCCACACAACAAGCGGCTCTGATTAAACACAACACTCCCGCTGCCGTTTGTTGCTCTTGTAGCTTGATGTGCATTGCTATCTGCAAATCAGTGCTGAGAAAGCTGATGATCGGTGGCTAAGTGAAATCCTGTTGGTGAATTCATTAGGGCAGGATAAATAAGGCCAGTGAGGCTCGAGCACTGTGCAGTGTGACACACTGAGACAGTGGCCACTTAAACAGGCCAGCAACGACCATTGATTTTTTTTGTTTATGGACAATCTGGTTTTCTACGGGCCCTTCCTCTCCTCTCCATCTGCGGTCGAACAGGTAATTATAAGTAAACAGACTAGGGAGCAGTTCACTGTGACGAATTACATATCTCAAGCAAGTCTCATGTCTCTTTTTACTGTTTTAATACTGCGCAGAAATGAATGGAAACCAAGCATTTGACACGCTACGGCACTTGGGTGAGGACTCGGCACATAAAATGATGTCATGGCCTTGTAAAGTTGGTGCAGCTTTAGTGTTGGCAAAGTTATGCTTGTTCCATCAGTGTATGAAATACATGTAGGTTTTGCAGCTGTGTCTGTCTCCTCTTTGAGGTTAGGGTTTCTGTGTGAGGAGAACTGATAGCACAGCACTATTCTGCTTGGTAGTTGTAGTCCTTATTGCGACGGTGACGTGGGGCCTGATGTGAATGCTGCTGCACATTTAACCCACATTGGACCCATTCATGAGTCAGCTGTCACTCTGTTTGTCACTGTTCATAGAGACTTCGGTCTGCAGAGTAGTTTAAACAATTCACTGAGAAACCAGAGAATGGTACAGTAACACTATACTTGGTTTTAGGATGGGTTTTTTCAGTCCTATATTCATTTCCAAATGTAGTAGAACACAAAGAAGTCTGAAACTACAAAGGACATACTTGATACTGTGATTGTAAATTTAAGGTCTCCATCTTGCGTATTATGTCTGAACCTCTTACTTTCACAATGACATGTAAAATCCCACAGGATGCCCCGGGTGTGGAAGATCACCCTGGGGGGGGATACTGGTCCCTACAGCAGACCAAAAGGTAACAAAGAGCAACTTATTCAAAGACCTTTGTGAAGACCCCTGAAGGATGTTCCCAGGCCACTGAGGGGCGGTCTTCAGGTATAAATGTTTAGCTCTCCCCCTGCTCAGGGTCTTTCTTCATCTTGACCGCTCGTTCACATGTTGATTGACCTTTTCTCAGCTGAGAGAATAAAAAAACTTTGTCGGCCGGCAGAAGTCTCTTTTTCATTCTTCACCAGCAGCAGAGAATTATTTTTGAATTTCCACAACAATACTTTTATACTCGTGCTACAATTTTTTTGGCCCCTGCTATAAAAATTTCAACCTCCAACATAACATTACAGTTCCACAAAACAAGCATCCCGAGTCATTTGCTCCTTTTAGTTCAACATTCTATGAAAATGGCAAACAGTACTCATCGAGCCAGGGCTCAAGATTTACAGCGTCCCATTGTCTCAGTGACAATAACGTGTTTGGGTCAGATAGAAATCTTCCCTGGGGTTTTATATAGGCTATAACTATCACTTAGCAAATGACCAACTGAATCGAGTGACTGAAACAGAGAGCATCTTCATGCTGTTATCACTTGGAGGAGAGTTAATTAGCTATTAGCTGTTAGCAGCTGCAAAAGCGTTGCACAGTGACCTGCAGTTTGATGTGACAACACTACAAGTTTGTAGTCAATAAATTAACGTTACTAAAGTACTACAGTTTGGAGGTAACCCTAAAAGTAGGCAGGGTGCCAGCTAGTTCATCTAGTAGAGTGGACACCCCATATACAAAGGCCTTGTCCTGGCCACAGGCTTGATACCAACACACAGTCCCCTGCTGCATCCCATCCCCCCACCCCCCACCCCGGTAGGTCCTGCTCAATAACTGCATAATGCCAAGAAAAATCTTTAAAAAGGTTATTTTGAGTTTGGAGTTAGGCTGCTTTTACACTGCTGAGCGGTAACTTGGAACCTCCAGTCATTTCAATGAATGGAAGGCAGCAATTTGTTAATTTCTTATTCATTTTCTCAACATTTTAATGATGTTTTTATTATGCCATAGCAACTATAGATCATATAACAAATTAAAGACACTATAGACTGTCAACTAGGAGTGTGTAAGAGATTGTTTACGAAGATATTTTCATTCTGTTACTGCCTTTTCATGCATTCAAGTGTCACAGTTAAGGGTGTTGTGTTAAATTGAATTTTCTGTAGCTTATTGTCGGCCATGAAACGTGTGCTTTGGCCACCAAATTTGTGTGAAAAAGAAATGAGTGTGCCTTTGCAGCTAAATGAAATTTAAATAAAGTCTGGAGCCTGAACGAACACAATATTTGTCAGCAGACAGTTCATTGTTGGTTTGGGTCTTTTATCGACTTAAAATATTAAATATTATTAAAGTAATATATAAATTTCTTTCAGCCAGTGATCTACAGAGTGATGAAACCCAGTTGGAGCCCTGCATCACCTCACATCTAACCACCACTTCCTTCCTCTCCGCCTCCTCCCAGCCCCCCATCAGGGTCAGTATTGATCAGTGTGGCCACGAGGGTGGCAGAGGGAGCGCCTTTGTTTCAATACAACTGTGACCTCTGAACCCTGACCCCCGCTTGCTCACTGCCCCTCCTCCCACCCTCCCCTCCACCTCATTTGCACACCACATCCCACTGTTGCCATGGCAATGGTGACCTCTGACCTCTCTCAGGCACCTACATCTGTTATCAATTAAATGGATAGGATTCTTTCCCCTCCTGAATACTGCACTTATGTTTGGGAGAGAAGAAGGAACATGTGAATGCAATCAAACCTATAGCAGGTATTTAAGGACAGGAAGTTGTGGGATTATTTTATCACTGCGCACCATGATTAATGAAGTTCAATTTAATACTGTGCTATCGCATTAATACTCTTTCTGATCTTAATCTGCAAATCAAACTGCTTTTTTCTTCAACTGCAACATTCATGTTTTGGAACCTGTGAGTAGAAACATACTGCCGGCCATGATTAATATGGTCAAATCTGCAAAATGCTATCAAATAAATGGCCTCACTGGATCTTGACTGCCCAAGCAAGGTTTAAAGACAAACAGAGAATTGTTGCTTTTAAAATTTTGTGTTGGTAATAAGGAGATAAACTTTGAACTGCTGAAGCTGCACAGAGGCCAAAACAAAAAAAAAACGGTGTGTTGGGGGTTGAAGAAGCCTGAAGAGATCAAATAATCTATTGATCCAGCTCAGCCTGCTGCTCCACAAAGAGAGAAATTTTAACCAGCAAAATACTTTATTTGAAAATGTTCTTTTATTTCTGCTCCATGCACAACTTTAATTAATACAATGATAAACTGATAACACTTCTCTCTCTCTCACCAGGTCATATTTGTCTTTATTCAGTATTTAAAGTCTTGTCTTTTTCAAAGTAATAAAAAAAGAATATTTGGTAATGCTACAAACACGGTAGAATTGTTTTATTTATTATCTATAATTTGAGTTAATTGAGTGTTTAGATTTTTGGGGAAACATTAGTGAAATGCCCATCATTCAGTTTTTCATCATCAATACACTGAAGTACTCAATTTGTACGACTACTGAACTACTTCTTCTACTTCTTCTACTTACTTCTACTGAATATGCCACATTGTTGTTTCTCAAGTCTATCAGGAAATGTTAAAGGAATACTTTAACATTTTGAGACATATTTGTTCTTTTTCTGAGGGTGCACTTAAGTCCAGACGTAGTAAGCCTAGTTTAGCATATAGATCAAAAGCAGGTGGGAAACAAGTAGCCTGACTTCTTCCAAATGGAAAAACACCTCTAATTTTCACTAAAGCCCCATCTCCACCAAACACCTTCAGTATGGTACCTTTGGAACCAACAGTAACCCTTCAGACATGGTACTTAAACCCTAGAGTTTCCACTACAAACAGTCCTCTTAAATGTGGGCGGGGTTGTTGTCACTCACTGCTCCGTCCAGCACTCACTATATTTCCTCATCAGCGGTGACACAGATGGAAGTCTGCACCTTGTTTATCGTCCACAGAACAAGGCTCCCAGGAAATGCACCAGGCTTTGAAGTCAACTGTCATAGTGGAGTTACATCCTTCACATGATGCCATGTGGCCCAAAAAGACTTTTTCCCATAAATTTAAAGGGCGAAAGAGAGTGTGAATCAGTGGATGTGTTTTTCTGAGCGTCACAACCTCTGCAAAATGACTTGTTTCCATATCAGACTTTGATTCATTGGACATTCGAAAAGTCTAGAAGATTCCTCCAACGCTGTATCCAGTTCTCTTTATACATCTATGCTGGGTGCAGGTTCCAAAGGCATAACCTGTGTTTACCACCTGTATCTGGCAACCTGATCTGCAGCACCAACCCAGTCACCAGAATAAATGTTGTCATTGTACATTTCTTTAAACTACGAGTACGTTACATATGTATATGTAGCGGATATGTTCAAACTGTTATCGTGTGATTAGTTTTAGGCCTAAAAACCACTTGGTTATAGTTAAGAAAGGATCGTATTTTAGCTTAAAATACTCAGTTTGGTGGCACTATCAAAAAGCATTAATGTCTCCATGAAAAACAATCACTTTCTGTGGCACTATCCTGAGCAGAAGAAAAGCAACAGGTCACTAAAAACACCCATGTTTTGTGGCTAAAAAGCTTGGCAGGCATCTCACATAAGTGTCACACCATCCACCGTCCCCTCCGCCTCCTGATATTCTACATCAGTTTAGAAATGCTGATGCGATACATATGAAACATGCAAATGTAATGTTATCATTGGTTTGCAGAAACATACAATGCCAACATCTTCTTCAGCCGACTGCGCTGGCAGCACAGAAATACCAGGCAGATAGATAAACCGTTATCCACAAAGAAATACTTCCAGCATGAAACTCCCCCTTAGTGAAAATTTTTAATTTGTACATTTCTATTTGTGTAAGGATTAAACAAACTAGAAGATATGACGTTCATTAGTGGGCTTTAGAGGTGTTGGCAGCCATATTTTCTGGCAACCTGCGCTGTATCAAGAGACGTTTCATAGAAGACAGATGGATAAACTGTTGTTCCAGCACATAATTCAATTGTGATTTTCACATTTCTATTTGAGTATATCAAAAATAAACAAAGTCCAACATGATCATTGGGGAGCTGTCGAGGTGGTGGGTTTTTTTTCTACTTCCCACATTTAACACAGACATGAGATTTCTTATTGATGTTCTCATCTTACTCAGATAAAGAAAATGTTGGACTCGGGTCTTACCTGTCACTCTTGGAGCGTCGTTTCTGGCCACTCTTTGGTCTTCTCTCACTGCCCAGACATGGGGCCCCGTTGGGCCCAGTAACCCGGACAGACTCCAGTCCTTTTGATGATTTCTTAAAGGTAAACTCGACAGCTTCTCCTTCTCTGAGGCTGCGGAAGCCCTCCATGTGCAGTTTGCTCTGTTAACGAGAAAGTTCAGTTCAGTTCCCCGCCAGAAAGCACCGTCTATTTGGGAATTACTGAGCATACAACTGGATAAATGAGACTTCAATACATCAAGAATATTTTTTAGTTTTTGAATTCTTTGCTCACTGTGGAGGCGTGCAAGACAATTTAAGTTTTCTTCATGGCTTCAGCGTAACACAGGGTGAGTAACTGATACACGTATTCCTTTAAAAGGTTATCATTGTCAGCGTTGTGTGTTTACCATCGATTTGCCCAAGCTGCCCAAAACATCTGCTGTTATTTTTGGCATGTTCTGAAAATATGAATTAAATTGTTAAGAGGATAAAGTTGCTTGATGTCTGAGCTTTAAACTGATTCCAGTTCTGGTCTTGACAAGACAAAGGTGTAGCTAACTTGAAAATTGACCGCACACTTGTGAATAAATGTCTTTGTCAGGCAATCCTCAGCTTGCTCATAAAAATCCAATCCTGCTGACGACCCCGCTCAAACATCAATGCCCTCAAACACCCCTCCTCTCCTCGTGTGTCTCCAACCAAACCTCCAAAGCATTCCTCACCCCCAACCCCCCCTCTGCTTCCTCAGCACCACCACCTACAAGTCTCCAAAATAAGTCCATCTGGTCAAGTCTGCAGATGACCACTGCACTGGAGGATGCTGGGAAATGACAAAGGGGAGGAGTGCACTCCTGTGAAAGTACCAGGATAGGTGGTGAGAATGTATGTATCCTGAGGTGAGTAAATCACCAAACAGTGTGCCACACCATTGATCTTCCACTGATCAGCTTTCCGATTGTGGCAGTAAATAAAATGGAGGATGAACTACCACACAGTAAAAAAGCAAAATGCCAGCTGAAATGTTCCTCTTAAATTTTGATATTACTTACTATCCATTTTTTAGGTCCATAAAACAGCACTATCGATGAAAACAATCACGTCAGTCATTGAGTAAATACAATTTAAAGGTCAACAGCAGTTCCTTTGTTGTCTCAGTGTGCTCTGCTGCTGTGTTGATATTACTCTATGGATTTTGAGCTCACATATTAATATACTTCACAGGATAATGTTCAAACAGAAACAGAGGCAAATAGACAAAACACAATGAAATAAAGAAAACATTTTCTGGCACACGACCCATCCGCCTGGCAGCATGCAGCAGCCACAAGCCGACCAGCAACAATCTGTAATGGTCATTTGTTGGTTAATACACATTAAAGCTGATGCTGGCTGATCTGGCAAACCACTGCAGACCACTGTTCAAGACCAACAAACAACAAAATCATTTGTTTCCTAGCAGGTCATCGCTGCATCTTCAGTGGAGGTAGTGCCACGAAAAGTGACTTTTTAACCACCAAAACTTGGTATTTTAAGCCAATCATGTTTTCCTAACCATAACAAAGTGTTTTTTGTGCCTTAATATATCCACACATTAACCACAGCACTGTTGAAACATAAAGTTTCAATGTATCGGCGACATAACAACATACTGTGGTTTGCAGAAAATGCACACTGCTAATGTTTATTCTGGCGACTGGATTGCGCCCACACATTCACATTACTCCTCTGTAACCATTTTTTTCAGGCGTCAGTGTGCTTCAAATAAAGTACTTGCTGGATTGTTGAATTTCCTGAAACTGACGCAGTAGCCCTTTTTAGATAGGAATTGTGCAAATTTGCAGGAAAGCCCAATCAGTCTTTTTTCAGCATTGGCAGTATAAAAACAAAATCGGGGAGTGCAGCAAAATGACGCCTGCCTACTTTTGTTTATACAGAATGCGCCTTTTTCGGGGCAATGGGGGGCGTGAACAAGAAACAAAACGTGTAGCTCAGCGTGTGACGTAAACAGTGACGTGGGAGGGAAGCTGCGGCTGGTCAGTCCTTCAGCGATTCTCTCGTAAATCGGCCTGTTCTTCAACGTGCCTGTCATCTGACGGTTTATGGCCTCTTCGTTTGCAAGGGCGTGCAACTCCTAATTCCTCCCCAGTTGCTCATCTTTACAGTGTCTGTCAGGTTTGCGTTTCCCTTAGCTGCTCGCTAATTCCTGCTATCAGCTGTTTCCTGTTTATCCACCACCAGTGGCTCGCACGTGCGGCGTCATCAACAGCTCCTCCCATAAGTCATCAACAGCCCCTCCTGTTGCGAAGCCCGCCTCGGTCTGTTTAAACTAAAAGGGTTTCACCAATATGTCTACCCTACGAGGTGGAAAATTGGGCGCCTTGGATCAACTCGCCAATCCGGCTTTGTGTGTCTAAACACTCACAGCTTGTCGGTAAAATGGCCCAACATTCGCGGAAAATCTGGCAGTGTAAAAGGGGCTAGTGATTGGCCAGGCGTACAGAGGTGTGAACGTAGGCAGGGTTTGAACTTCTTGAAGCTCTTCAATGTATCTTCATGTAACAATTTGCATATCTAACAAATTAGCGTGCCACACTTAACATAAAGCTACGTTCATTCATTTGTTCATTTTCCATATCCGCTTATCCTGTTGGGAGTCGCGGGAGGGCTGGAGCCTATCCCGGCTAACATCGGGTGGGAGGCCAGGTACATCCTGGACGGGTCGCCAGTCTATCACAGGGCTGACACATAGAGACAGACAACCATTCACACTAACATTCACACCTACGGGAAATTTAGAGTCACCAATTAACCTGCATGTCTTTGGACTGTGATAGCCCATAAAGTTACGTACTTAACTTTAAGTTACGTAAGTTAGGTTTAGGCATATAAAGGTTCCACACACTTTAGTTAGGTTAAGGAAAAGACACACGGTGACAATACACTTGAAAAAATAACTCAGAGCTAATTTGGTTCTGCTAGTTTGGTCCAAACACTGGTCTCCTGGGTGAAAGTCCTGTGTTGTTTGACCCATCCACCACCATTCCTTACACGGACTTTAAAATACTTCCTCTTTACTCCCATGAGCACATTTCTTGCATGATTGCTGCCGTCCTGATTATGTGGGTTACACACAAATTACTGGCTCATGATTTCGTGGGTTATATACAAATCGTGGTGCATTACTTGTCGTAGGTAAACCTAGGAACACTGCGTGAGAACAGCCTGACCTCTCCCATGCAACTTGTGGTGCAACCTTTGTTATTTCTTTACATTTGGCCAATTCACTTCTAACAATACAGACTACAATCTCCCATCTGATCAAACCTCTGCACACCAAACAGACATCAATGATTCACTGAAGCCCACAACGAGCATGTGCAGGCCCTCTCCCCCCTCTCTTTCTTCAGATGATTTACAGCAACACACCGACAGGTAATCTGAGAAGAGGTTTCTACCACAAGGCTCCACATGGGAGGTGGGCCTGAAACTCGGGGTTGGGTGGGCTCCCTGATGTTTTAATGACTTTATAACAGGAAGCAGGGCTGGATGGGGAGAGGAATGAGCCTTGTTATTTCTGCCTTAGCCTCTAACCCCTTTTATATAGAAATGTTTGAGCTTGACACCTTTGAGGTTCCACGGCAAATATCTGCCTGTGAGGTGAAGCAGGCGGAGTGGCAGTGCAGTTGATTTTAGGATGTGTTAATCTTCAGGTAATTTTACACAGGAACACAGCAGGTGTCTCACATTCTTCTTACAAGCTGTCTTTGTGGGATTATGTGTGACTTTACACCGCAGAGGGCGTTTTTTCTCAGCCGGTACATGTGACTTACTCTTAAATGATTTATTAAATGAAGCAAAGTTTCTTAAGGAAGCTACAACCAGAGAATTTCTGTCATTTCTTGTGGAAATGTGATTTAAATTGTACATCCATTATAAAACTAGTTGTTGATTAATTATCTGTTGATCTGTTGAAGAGTCTTGTTGGTCAATCCAGTGTCACTCCCAACTCATCAAATACACACGCTTGGGCAGCCTCAATAAAGCCTCCACAAAAATAGCATTCTAAGTCTTGTGTGTGATTTATCCTGGCTTCATATGAGCAGAGGAAATCTCCACTCATCGCTAGGCTAATTTATACAATGTAAAATGCCATAGGCTTGTGCTAATAACGTTAGCATGTTGTATTTGGTTGGAAAAAGTGTTTAGTATAAGACAGTTGTTTTGTCAGTGAATCTTGTGAGTTGTAATGGAGCTGAATTTTGTAACATTACCTTTGTTAAATGCTGCTGTTGTTGAAATCTCTGCTCGGCGCTAGGCTAATTTATACAATGTAAAATGCCATAGGCTTGTGCTAAAAAAGTTAGCATGTTGTATTTGTGGTGAAAATGTGTCCAGATAAAGACAAGTGTTTGTCTGTGAATGCTGCGAGTTATAGTGAAGCTGATTTGTGTACTTGTGTTTGAAATTGTCTCCATTAAGTCATGTTTAATGTGTGTTTAATGTGTGTATTGACAGTGACAGGTGTGACACACAGCAGCAGCGTCTCACCTGGTGGACAAACACGTCCAGCGTCTCCTCCACAGCAGCTCCGTCCCTGCTGCTCATGGACAGGAAGCCGAAGCCCATCCTCACGTTGAACCACTTGCACACTCCGCTGCCCCGGGACAGAGCAGCTTCCTCCTCCTCTACCTCACTCTGCGACCCGCCTGCTGCTGCACGGTGGACACAAACACAGTGATGATGATGATGATGATGATGTTAGGACAATCTGATGAACGGCAGGATGTTGAAACCAAAGTGAAGCCTAAAAGGGCCGCATGTTACGTAATGGCCCGAGAAAACAATAACCGAGTCTGTGTGACACACAGGTGACATTTAAACACTTTTATCGGGTGATAAGTGCGGGAAAGTAATCTGGAGATTAATTATCCGATTATGATTTAATTGATCAGTCTATTAATGTCAGAAAATTGTAAACAAAATATTAAATTAAATTAGGCTAAAAAAATAAATACATAA